AACTTAAATTTAAAAGGATCAGCTAGTTGTAAAACATAATCCAAAGAGCTAATTTGAAGGAAGTTACATAAAAAGAAATATCTGAGTAAATTATTTCTCGTTATTCTAACTTTTCATTGTGTCAAATAAAATCTTTTTTTTAATTCTGAGATTCAACTGGAAAGCAATTTTAAAAAGGATGAGGGACTAACACTACACTGAACTGACATGTTCATCTAAAGCTGTGTTAAGCCAAACGTCACCGCTACAGAATAAAAGGGAAAAACATGCAAATCCAGCTGCCTGTAGTATTCACTTGACCTTGTAAGGGCAGACAAATGAATCCATAGCGGTTTTGTGTTATATATATTCACTGCTGTATTTGTTACTTGTGATGAACACTGACTGCATGGAATACAGACAAAAAGCCAATATGTCTGCTTGTATTTTATGTAAACATACAGAATTTACATAATTTTGAAAGTGTAATTTTAATCTTTATGCATTGTACACTCCTTTTATCATATGTCTCAATAGACTTCAACAAAAAAAAATCACCTCTAAGCCTGCAGTCTGAGGTTTGAAAGATAAAATTAATCTTTTGTGTCTAGTTAAAATTAATTATGCGAGGATTTGGTTTTCTGTATGTCAATGTGGTTCCTGTGTTGTGTCCCTGATTGTGTCTGATTGTGTCTCGTGTTCCTTGATTACCTTTGTGTCTTTTTGTAGTGATGGGTAAATGAGGCGTCATGAAGCATTTCGACTGATAGTAAAACTGTATTGATACTGTTTCACTGAATACTGACACCTGCTGGACTTTAAAAATCCTTACAGTCATTGTATTTTATTGTATATTATATATTGCATTTTATAATATCTTCAGTTAAATTCAAAATATATTGGATATTCTTCGATGCAGTCAATAAATAAATTGAACATGTATTATAAAGTGAAAATTTAAGTGAACGTGTTTGGAATGAGGATGCTTGTGGACTGTTTTTTTTTTTTTCACGCATTTTCATTAAAAAAATTTAAGTTTTTCCAGCATTTTGAAATTTAGTCTGTAATGCATTTTTTGACTCAACTTCTCCTGCTGTAGAAAAAAATGAAGTAGCCTAAACAACAATATATTTATATGAAATAATTTACAAAAAGCAACTGAGTAATTTGTAGAATGGCTGCATACCTGAGTTTATGCTAAGTGTATCTGGGACTTAATTCTGATGCCCTATAATGCCTCAGCATTGAGGAGGTGGATTTATTTAAATAAGACATGTTCTGTCAAACATATGCAACACTTAGTTTACTTTCATATTATGTTCTGCAGATTAAGAGTTTACTTTCACATTAAAAGTAAACCCTGAATTTGGATTCAGATAGATCTAGCAGAAACTGAAGAGAACCGGATGAAGCAACAATGAAGCGATAACCTATACCTTATTTTATGATGTAAGGTCCCAAACTACGAAACCTTTTGTTTTCGTCGAGGATCATTAGTTGATGCTGTACCTTAAAAGTTCCAATGCATCCCATTGACAGATTTGCTTCTTTATAAACACAGTTTGGCGTGCCGGTGTCATTTAGAAACAGTTCCTGTATTGGTCATGTGACTTGCTGAAAGCAATACTCGCACCAAAATGGGGTTTTGTCCAAGTGCTTGATGCATCGGTGTTGCCGGACCCATCACTATCTTTATGCTCACCTGTGCTGCCTGGACTTCTCTGTGCTCTTGTTTGCTCATCATTAAACTACAATTGTTCACCACAACCTGGGCCCACCGTGTCTACCTCACCACCAAACTCTACAAACTCCAGTCATACAAGTGTATGTGTCTTGTCACCCATTCAGAAGCGCACCCCCCTTTGTTGAGGATTGCAGGGAATTGGGATGAGTTAGTGAAGGCACTCACAAGGCCTTGCTGAAGGGATTTATGGTTTTGTGAGCCTGCAGACTGAAATGATTGTACATCCTTGCCTCCTGCAGCCCCCTGTGCGACTATCCTGTTCAGCTGAAAATACTGTGTTGAAAGCAAGCCCTCCACATGGCAGCAGAGCACAGAGGCCTTCAGAAGGACAGGTTTGTGTGACTCCTCTCATTAACTACTAAAGCTGCCCCTCATTCCAGCCTGATGGGAGCCACTTATGTTATCATCAGCATGCCAACCAGCTGTCAGCTTTGGTGCACCAAAGCTTTTGCACTTCACACAGATGCGTCTGTGTCATGCTGATCTCTCACCCCACCGCAAAGGAGTCACCACAGTCGACGCTTTTCTTCTCTGGGATGGCCTGATTTAGGCAAAAAGGAGCAGCTGACACCTTATTGTAAAGCTTGAATAAATTAAGAGGACATCTGAGTCCAGGTCAAATAAAGGTCTATTTACTGGACCTAGACAGTCTGCATACAAAATCTGTTGGCAGCTGCACACTGGTTGAGTTCAGGAGACTGACAGACAAAAAGAAACATGCAAAATCAGCAAGCCCTTTTGCTGAGTAGGGTTGGCACCACCAGCTGTGTAGGTTAATGTTACAAGAGGCTGATTGTACTGCGGACGAAAATCACAAATAAGAGCGCCCACGTAGGTTACTGTGTAAAAGTTATCACATGCTAATCTGCTTTGTTGACATGCCATGTATTTTACATGACTTAACTTGCAAATCCATGATGATGTTTATTTGATGGGGAAATATAGGTCAGTCCCTCTTTGCGCCGATGTCACATGATGACAGATGTGCAACAGCAAAAAGATTAGGACACACAATGTCGCAGTTGTCGTGTAGTCGCTTCAGGGTTTATTTCACGTCTGCGCGACTTTTGTGCTCATCAATCACTCATCTAGACACCAGAAGAAGAGAGGATTTCATACGCTGATAATTTAATCTAAATCATCATGTAGCTCTGTGTAATCCAGAGAATCTGTCCACTTTGTTATTAAAAAAAAAGACATCTCGAGTAGGGAATGACTTCAGCTCAGATACAGTTATTGTGCTGAAAGTCTTACGTAACATGTTTGATGTGGGTCAGAAATAACTTAGCCCTGTGCCTTGGAGGTTGGAAGATGCAACCCACATACAGTGCAGAACCGTGTCCCAGTACCACAGGCTGATCCAAGAAAAGGGTTACAGTCATTACCAGTGGGAAAGTCCAGATACTTGTCTTTATGAGGGGTTGTGCTGAAGTAAATGTCAAATGAAGACACAGGGGAACAGAGTTCATCCTCAAAGAATTGCATTCCTTGCTGCCTCATCCTTCTCTTTGACCTCTCCGTGTGCATCTGTGAGGGATTAGGCTTGTGGTTTTTCCCAAGCTATTTTGGACTCCACACCCCGCCCCCTTATCTTTTTTTGGAAAACTGATACAGATGCATGTATCGGGTCTCAATAGTAATTAGTTGTTCATCATCTTTGATTTTTTTTTTTTTTTTTTTTTTTATGCAGCATACCAATGCACTGTGTGGCAGATGACTATGAACTGGAAGAAGAAGTGCATCTGGTCTGAAAGTCTTACAAATAAAAATCTGAAAAAGACATTTGTGTTGATCTCTCCTGATTCAGTGCAACATTTCTGTAGAAACAGAAAGGAAAACTGAAAGGTTTTCTCATACTTCTTCACGGAATATCTCAGTATAAGTCTGAAGAGTAAGAAGCCGTACGTGAACAGAAATTTTCCAGTCTTCTCATTAAGAATTATATGCGGACTTTGGCTGACCTTTCCTGACAGAAGTATACCTTTTGACCAGAGCAGCTCTGGCTGTGAGTTCAGAGTCACTGACATGAAAGACAGCAAACCTCACCAGTCTGAAATCTGCCGTGTCTAACGGATCTCTTTCCAGAATCGTCTTGTAATTAACCCCCATCTATCTTCCATGTCCTTGACCATGAAAACCACACCAGTGTTTCAACAAAGGGGGATTTGTTCAGATTTATGAGCAATGTCTTCTGTCACACATAAAGTTTTGCTTGTTGGTCTAAAAGTTTGCTCTTTATATGACCATAGCACCTTTTCCCACATATCTGCTGCCTCATATCTCTTAGTATGAGTTTTTAGATGCTTCAATGCTTTCAATGTTTTTGTTCTACCACTCTTACAAAAAAGTCATATTTGTGCACTGCACAACTTATAGTTGTGGAGTTAATTGATTCACAAACCTGAGCTGTGGATCTTTGCAGCTCCTCCAGAGTTACCTTTGACTTCTTGACTTCTTCTCTGATTAAGGCTCTCCATCTGCTGAAGTGGTCGACCATGTCTTGGCAGCTATTCAGATATAAATTGCCAAGCACAGTTGTGCTTAACAAACTGGAAAAAGTTGAAGAGGTATGAATGTCTTTACAAGGTGCTGTAAATGTTGACATTTGTTGTCTCCTATATGATGATGACTTTTATTCTTAGAGCTTGACTTAGCTTATTAAACCAAACATGATCTGCAACCAAAGAAGTACTATGATTAGCAAGATAGTGCACATTCAAACTGCCTGTTCTTCTCCTCCTTGTCTTTATTTTACTGTGGATGGATTAAGCACACACTAAGCCAGAGCTTTCCCTTTGTGAAGTGCTGCCAACACTCCCCCAGCAAACAGTGAGAGCTCCTGGCACTCAGGTTCAGTACCTGGCATCTACAAAGCTGCTGCTGGCACCTACCTTTCATCAGCCATCTGTAATCGCCTGTGTCTCCGACAACTTCCACAAGTATGTCCTCACATGTCGCAGCATCCAAACGGCCAGCTGTCTCTGCTTTTGGACCTCTATGTGACAGTAGATGATCACTTTATCATTTGTATAGTCTGACATTTTTCCCAAGAGCAAGTTTTTGTATCCAGAGTGAAATTTCTGCTTGCATTTTTTAGCTTCACGGTGGTAAATCAGCAAAGACGAGACCAAATTAAAGGCTTTTATGATGTGTTCTCGATGAGCTCCCTTAAAAGGTGAAGGAGGATTCAGCGCAGTATGCACATTCTCTCTAGAGATTACCATTAATATGAGCAGGTCTGTATTTATAGAAGAGCCCCACACTAGACACCCCATAATCCTCCCTGACCCCTGTTTCAATCCCTGCCTCATCCCAGTGTTTGGACTAGTTGACCATCGCCGTCCCTTACTTCAGCCTCACTCTCACCTCATACCAGCCGAGGTAAACTCGTTAGAGGACGGCTCTGCTTTTTGGGGAAGAAGACGCAACATTTTCTCTGCATATTCTTACCCGATTAAAGTGAGAAGTCCAGGGACTATTACACTTCTTGAATAGCATTTTCTGTCTGTCTTCATTGTCTGTTGTTCATCTTGCTGCTCTGTTTGACCCACAGATAAACAAAATGTCATCCAGTGAGCGATTTGACTGCCATTACTGCAAAGACTCTTTGTTGGGGAAGAAGTACATCATGAAAGAGGACACGCAGTATTGTACAAAGTGCTATGAGAACCTATTTGCTAACTGCTGTGAGGTGTGCTCTTTACCTATTGGCTGCAACTTCAGGGTAAGTACAGACAATGATGAGACAAAAATATGCCATCCTCAGACTCCAGCTGCAACAGAAATGTTCCCTGAATGCATAGCAGCTGATGTAAGCTGATGTGGATTCAATATTTGCAGGACCTGTCCTATAAGGATCACCACTGGCATGAGCAGTGCTTCAAGTGCGCAAAGTGCAGCCGCTCACTGGTAGAGAAGGCCTTTGCAGCCAAGGAGGATTTACTGCTTTGCACTGAATGCTATGCACATGATTACTCGTCCAAGTGCAGCACCTGCAAGAAGACCATCATGCCAGGTACAGGCAGCCATGAACGCCGCTCCGCAAGATGAAGAATGAGGCTTATTGTGTTTAATAACATATCACACTTAATGTAATATGTTGGACAAAACGTTTATGTCATTAGCGAAATTGAGAGTTTCTTTATTGATCTTAGCAACACTCAACAGTTGCAATCAAAACCCTCCACACATAATGTCTATTAATAGCCATTCTGCAGTTGTTCCCACATCTACAGTTTCCAAGGCACTGAGTGAGCTTTTAATCTCTGGTTTTAATAAGCCCATATCAGGTTTATACAGGGATTTGTCAAATGTGTCTGCAGCTGAAATCTTTCAATGGCCAGACAAAACTCATGTTTCTCACCTTTCAGTTTGAACCAGTGTTGCTCTTTCATATTTATAAGCCTCCCTTCCCTTACCAGTACTGCATATTCCTTTGGGAGTTGTCACTTTCAGGCAAATGGAGCTCCAGAAAGTTTTCTAAGATGCTGATGGAGATAAACTGTTACTTTAGGGCAAGATTGTATCCAAGGGAGCCGCAGCGCTTTTAAAACATAATGACAGTTGCTATTATAAATTATTACTTTTAACACCTCAGATTACTTGTACATATTTAAACCTGAGCCACGCTCCCAGTACATGTAGGCACAGCAAATAAAGGTTAAAAAAACAGCAAAGAAGCCGTTTACAATCAGTGACAAATGTTTTAGTTTTTCTAAAATTCTATATTTTATAAATATTTCCAAGACTTTTCATTACAAAATCAATGTGCCTAATTAGTATAAAATTTGCTTTAAATTTTCTCTTAAAGCACTAAATCAGGACTTCTGATTTAGTTGATTTGGTTATTTGCTGACTTGCAACTTCTACAAATTGCTTTTGCGTGTCGAACCTAAAGATATTTCCTGATCAGAACAATATTTAGTTCAGTAATTGCAATACTTTTCTACAACAGTTTGTCTTCTAAACTACTAACAACACCTTTATGACGTTACCCAGTTATTATAACAGTTATGTGGACCCGTCTATAATCCCTAACCCTAGATTGCATGGTCTCCACTGACCAACTAAGACTATTTTAGGCAGCGTGTGTTCTGTCATTGAGGTACCATATGCTGGCTTAGCTTCTCTCGTGTCGTTTGCCAGGTTCCCGAAAAATGGAGTACAAGGGGAACAGCTGGCATGAGACTTGCTTCCTGTGTCATCGCTGCCAACAGCCAATAGGAACCAAGTCTTTCATCCCCAAAGACTCTGGCTACTTTTGTGTGCCCTGCTTTGAGAAGCAATTTGCATACCAGTGCTGTGCTTGTAAGAAGGTAAAAAAAAAATCTTAACTGCGTAATTTTTATGTAATGACTACACCAATAAATTCACTGACTGCAGGTCAGTGAGAACGAATTTCCATTTGTGCTCATGTCTGCTGTATACGTTTCTTGTATCTTCAGGCCATCACCACGGGTGGTGTGACCTATCAAGATAAGCCGTGGCATCGTGAGTGCTTCCTCTGCATCGGCTGCAGAAAGCAGCTTTCAGGGTATCGCTTCACTTCCAGAGAAAATTACCCCTACTGCCTGGAGTGTTTCAGCAACCTGTATGCAAAAAAGTGTGTTGGTTGCACCAAACCCATTTCTAGTGAGTCATTCTCCCTGTTATGTTCCGCATAATTTTGTTGTCATATGGGTCATGATAATATGGGATCATGAGGTTTGCATTTTAACGGGAGGAAAGACAAAAGAAAGAAAAAACTTTCTAAAGCAGGAACAGATTAAAAGATTTTTAATTATTGCAGATGTTTTCCGTTCAACACGTAGTCAAAATGAAACATACTGATTATGATCCACAATATATGCAATTCTAAAAATACTGACTGCTTTTCAGCAGGTTGATGCACACTTTAGAAAATTCAAACTTCAGCTACGGCACGTTTGAGCTTAGGCAAAAGCTGAGAGGAATCCTTCTTGAAGGTCCTCGCCAATTTCCTTTAAACACCAGGCGGCCATCTTGCATGGAATAATTGTGTTCCAACAATGATCGTAAACACACATGAAAGCTGATTTTACAATGAAGAAATGAATGGTCTCAAAGCCCCAACCTCAGCCTGAACATTTGTGAACATTGAGAGTTTCTTTATTGATCTTAGCAACACTCAACAGTGTTTAAAGTCAGATCTATGTAAGGGAACAAACCAGTGTAATTACATCTCACCATTTTTCATAAGAAGAATGGTCTATCCAGTCTCAATAATTCAGTTGTTAATGAATAACAAGTGTTTGTTTGAGGTGCAGCTTTACTGGATGAGTTAGAGAAACAAATACAGTAAAGTTTAAAGGAAAAAAAATGGATGCATTCAATTTGGAGTTTCTTTCCTGTACTGTTTCTCATCACATAAAACAGTACAAGAATAGTAAACTATTAATATCACAGGTGAATGTATTCAAGCTTTTCACCCTAAAAATCTCAGCCATGTGATTAAAATATGCTTGAAGTTGTGCAAAAACAAGTACAAAGCAAATATTGACACATACGTTTAATCTATTTTCCTTTTTCAGGTTTGGCAGGTGCCAAGTATATCTCATTTGAGGAGCGTCAGTGGCACAGCGAGTGTTTCACCTGCATGCAGTGCTCTGTGTCACTGGTGGGACGCGGCTTCCTCACCCAGCGGGACGACATTTTGTGCACCGACTGCGGCAGGGAGAAATGACCTGTGCATGACACGATGCAACGACTTATGTTCTCTTTAGTTAATATGCTGGGCACGTTAATCGGTATTAGCTTGGATGATGCTGTTACCTCATTAAGTGATCAACATTTTCTCATTTTGCTTTAATGTAGTGTTCTGTTGTGAAAGTCTTCATAAGGGCGCCCATATCGATTCTATTGTGAATTTGGTGCTTGTACAAACTTCTCAGTTTCCTGTAAACTTGTACAACCGTGGTGCTTTATGCAAAGATTGTTATTCATTTTAAAAAGAGTGAAATGATGTTTGTTTTTAGACTGTAGATCCAAAATATGTGACAAAAAGCTAAATTACATGGTGCTAAAAAATTTAAAGGAAAACAGTATCTGCAGTCTTGCATGACCCTTGCACTTTAATGCATGCAAATATATTCACAAAGAATCACAAAATAATATATGAGTTTGCTCAATATATATGAGACGTTGCTGCAATAAAATTTCTAATGCCTGTTGTTTCTCATTTTGACATTTCAAGAAGAGATTATCAATTTGATTTAGATGCACACACTGACTGAATGGACAGGCATTGTTAATTAGCAATGCTGTAGTGTCCAGTATTTGATAAATGCCACACACATATTCAATTAAACAAAAAAATTACAGTAGGTTTTATTAAATACAACTACTAAAGTTTGGGGCAAGTCAAGAAAACTCAAATATACATTCAAAATGTATATTTACAGATCAAAAAAAGCACAAATAGACAACCTGAGTTTATGCCAAAGCTGTTGCGAATAATGCCAGTAAAACTCACCAGCACGTCTGAGGACTGGTCCGCATTTCAACCATCTGCATTTCAACCTGACAGACCAATGCATCTCTGCCCTCAAAAAATGCTCTGAAAAAGGTCTGTATTTATGCGTTGGTTGAATAAAAGCTGTTCCTTGATCTTAATGACTCTTTTAAACAGATGGGGGCTTCTTTCAGGTTCAGGATCATGACTCAGAGAGGGAGAAATGTGTCTCTTTTCGAGATCCCACAGTCCAAGCTGTTAGCTATTGTAGGTGTTGCCACAATTAACAGGTACAGATTGGGTGAGAATTTTGCACACTTATCACTGGCATGACTGTCACATTATTGCGGTACTTCAAGACTTATTTGAGTTGTTCTTGTTTTTTAAATATTTTTAAAATAACAAAATTCATTTGTTGTTTTATCTCAGACTAAAATATCTCAGGAAGTTGCATAGCAACCAGTGAGTAATGTTTCCATTATATTGGCATATTTCTGGCTCAATATTTCGCCAAGAGTTTCTCTTTGGAATGGCAGAAAAATTTAAAATGTTTGGTCCTGATTTTAAGCATTGTCCAGAAAATGAAAATCTACCTTACAACAAGGCCAGTCCAGAAATGTAATGCTGACGTTTTATCTCTTCCAAAACCAGCTTTGATATGAATTAGGGGTTATTTTCGTGTCTGAACATCAAACTGTGTCAAAGTTGCAAATATGAAACTGTTAATTCAAATATTCTCCTAAAATCAAATGAAGTTGTATCAACCATCCAGCATCAAAAATCCTTTACAATACACTGCTAAAGCCTTTCGCCCATATGACATTCAAACCAAATATTAATTGTATGTAAATATCTGAACTGTTCAACTCCTTTGCAAAACTAGAAGACGTTAAGAGCTTTCATACCTAAATCACATACGGCAGCATGTTGTTACCTAGCGCTTTTTATTTGGGTCAGAGCGCTCCACCTTGTCAAACAGTCTGATTCAATCATTTCACAGCACTCAAAACCCAAACATACATCCCGCCAGGGATATTTGCTTCCAGAGAAAATCCTTCCCTTATCCTCATCCCCCAGGCATGCTTGTGATAAAGACATGGACATGCCTCCGTCCTCCCCTGCAGTGGCCAGGGGAAGAGCTGGCGGCCGGAGCATGTTTCCCTTGCATGCAAATGCTGAATGTCTGCAGCGCGTTGGTATAGCAGCGCAAACAGACTTCAAGTCTCAGTGGAGATTTTCTGAACCAGGTGAACCAACCAGCCAACAAATCAGCTCCCAGCACAAACAACCAGCAGAATATTCAGACCTTCTTGCACCTGCTGGTCAATACATAGTAAGTTACTTGCTTAAGTGATTTGTAATTCATTTCATTTTGTGAGAACATTTTTACTTATCTAATTTGAATTTTTAACATTTCAGGATCCTTGATTTGGAATAGTTAAAGACGAGGCTTTACACATCAGATTTTCACTTTTTTTTCTCAAGCTGTACTCATCCACTCATGTTTCTTCACTGTTTTCCAGCTGAATGAAACCATCGCAGGACAGCAGATGCTGTCTGATATGTGCTGTTATTTCTATTAACTTTCATATTAAGGGTTGAATTTGACGTTAACCTACCAATGCTATTTTTTTTCTGTCATCTATCTGCCTGTAAGTTGTTAATTTGTGATATTTACAGTCACTGGCTGCCTCAGTTATTTTTCTCTAGTATATTAGTGCTTTGGTTTTCACTGATCGGAGCTGCAGAAGGCCATCTCTTGCCTGGCTGCATTTGTTAATTTTAACCAACAGGGTTTCTCACATGCCAGGAATCTATTTTTAGAGTAAAATGGCTCCAAATCTCATAATGTAATGAATAAATCTGAAAGAAAGTAGCCTTCTGTAATAAGTTCCTAACAAACATGAAGCTCCAATCAATACTCATTATTCTTCTGTTCTGTGGAAGTGAGCTGGTTCCTCTGGGAAATGATCAACCTTGAGTTAAAGATGTAGCCATGAATCAGTAGAGAGTCTTTTTATTTTCACATAAAATAAACAAACGACAGAAGTTTAAAAAAACATCTCATCATTACCTGCCCTGCTAAGAAGCAATCTGGAGGAATAAATCAGGGATTGACATGCAGCAGAGAGGCTGACGGCGCCCTCCTGAGGCTTTATGTGGGAGTGATTTTTACTGCTGCACCAGCTGCCTCTCCAAAGGCTACTGGGATCCTGATTTTGGAGCAACATGGCAGGTGTTTGCATATTCTCATTTTTGGATACCCAGACATATTTTTAGTTCTGTATTATTATAATCATTTTCTTTGTTTACTGTTGTCATTGTCTTTTTGTTTTTGGGGGGGTTATGTAGGTGGATGTAGAAGGTCCTGGGTTCCAATCCTGGTGTGGGGTCTTTCTGCAGAGAGCTTTTATTCCCAGGTTGTCTCTCTGAGTCTTTCCACAGACTAACAACAAGACTGTTAAGCCAGTTTCATATGTATGTGTGTGTGCAAGTTTTTTGTGGTGTGTTTCTGTGTTGCCTTGTGATGGACCTGCTGGTGACAGGCACCAGATGTTCCCGTGATTCTGCAAAGATAAGTGGATATAAAGAAAATGGATGGAAGTTCAGGTAAGCTTCATCTTCCTGTTGTCCAAAGCACATCATAAATCACCTGTGCACAACTCCAGTGCTTGAAGGCTGGTGTCTGGCCAGTTTTAGTTGTGTCTCTTTTCAACACTGCTGATGCAAGTGGTCCATCTCCCAACCCAGATATGTTTAATAAATTGTCCTTATCACAGGAAAGAGAGAGCTAGAGGTGACATTATGTATTTGGACTTCTGCAGATTTGACTGTTGAGATCCCATTTTGCAATTCCTAACTCAAACTGCAGAGGGCAGAAGTACTCAATGCAACTATTTTTCACATATCTAAACATTACCTTAAATGCCTCCCATCATATTGCTCAAATTGTACCATTTAAGAGCCTATTTTGGTTTTAACTTGAACAATTTTCCCATTATTTTCAGCAAAAACAGGTGTGCAGACTTTCAGTGTTCGCATAGTGATTTCTTTATGACCCTACATGTCATTACATTATAATTGTTATTTCTGACTTGTCTTTCCATTTGCCTTTGTTTTCTGAGTGCTTTATCCGCAGGTTCATCAGACATGGGAACGGCACCATCTACTTACTGCAATCTCTTGAGTGTGTTATTAAATGCAGTGAAACATCAGCCTGTCTTCAGCTGGTGAGATATCAGATATGTCTGGATTATGTTACTTCAACCTCGCAGGGACAAGAACAGGCAGAGCAAAATGTGAAAGTGGCCAGAGGGGATGCTGCATTAGCTGATGTGGGAATCCAGCTTCTTGCGAGTCCTCTGTCACTGCAAGACATCAGCAAAACACAAGTCACACTGTTTGTCTTAGCAAAAGAGCAGAACAAACAGAGAGAGAGTCTGCTTCTGCAGGGCTGGTGACTGCTTTCCTGCAGCGGCGGGGATCCAGAGTGACAGCTCAGACACCATGTTTTTAATCTTTAGCTTTCTAGAAGCATCATCAGGTGTTTTTCATGTGAAAAGGGGACTGTTAAAGTCTCAACAGAATCAACTGGAGTTTCAATAATTCATTCATCAACTTTCATTCTGTGCTGAATTGCATCATAATTCGGATCATGTTTGAGTCTGTGTCACAATTCCTTGACTTCGAGCTTAGTTAGTCACATTGTCTTCCACTTCCGTGGGAATCCTGTATTTCTGGTCCGTCTTAGAAAGTGGCAGATTTAAAAAGCCATTTGGGTGTTTTTGTAGGCCGGCATTAAAAAGGTTACCAGATTAAACAATTTTAACAATGAAGAGTTGATTATTGTTTGTGTGGAGTAGATGTCACCTGCTTCCTACTGTTTTCTTGCAATTAATTATTGTAATAAGTAATTTCCCTTCAGTCCCACATACTTATGCTCCCTCCCTGAGCAACTTCACTTCCTGTGGTAATTAAGACTCACCCGTACCTTGCCACACCAATCAATGTGCTTTGATATTTAATTCTCCAGTATTCATTTGCTCTCCGTTGATTTCTGATGTGCCCCATGGGTCCTGGTCTGACTTGTGTTCTTCTGTGAGTTTGTTGTTTTAAGTTATCTACTTGTTTCCTCATTAAATTAGAATTTCTATGTGATTTAGCCGCCCACCATGGATGGATGATGTAGTATTACTGTGTCTAAATCATAAAAAAACAAAGCTATAAATGTGTCGTCGCTTATTTCTGTCTATGCGTCCTGTAATCATTTCAGTTGTACCAGTACATTTAAGATTTAATCTTTATTTAACTGAAAGTGATGATTCAAAATGAAAGAAAGCCCTATTTACCACCATGCAATTCACTGTCCTGGGAGCAGACGTCTTCTCGGATTAGCTTAAAGAAAATGCATGCAGTAAATAACTGGGTTTAAAACGTAAAAATAATATCAAAGCAGCTCCCTTTGCCATGGCGACAGGTCGGAGCCACATCCTGAAAGACACGATAGCCATAAACTGAATTGTGGAAGACACCCGTGCAAATATGTTGACTTATCAGAATGTGCTGCTTTACATGGAAACCAGTGGTTTTCAGCGTGACCAGAGGGAATTTCACTATTCTGCACCACTTATATATACTTTCATGCTTTTATGGTTTCCATGTGTTTATGTTTGTTTGCATTGAGCTGAAAAGGGAAAGTGAACAAGTGAAGGGCT